TCACCTGATGATAGAACTATCAGATAATATAATAATAATTTTTAATTTGAAAGAGGTCAGCTGCTTATCAAGTGTATGATATATTACCGGGACTCAGTGCTGTTGCTGTTGATCATATGTATATTAAATATATGATATTATCAAATTTACATAAATATAAAATTTATATTTTTATTTTTGAATGTATATATTATAAAGTGGAATCCGGTTATACCGACATTCGAAGGACCGACGATTTTACGTCGCTATACCCGGAGGACAATTTAACCAGAAGGAGCAAAAAATGTTTTTTTTTTTTTTACGGTTGCCTTGTTCGTAATGGGGTTAACATAAAACGTGTTTAATCAAATCAAAATCAATTTTCAATATTTCAAAAAAATTTGAAAAAAATCGTCGGGATAAGCGGATTGTCGCTAAAAGCGGAGACGTACTAAGCGGAGGCTCTTGCATATAACTTTGTATGGGGCCCCACCAGGAAATCGAATTTTCGTCGACGCTTTACGCGGAGTCGTTATAACCGGGTTCCACAGTATGTTATATTATATACTGACATGGACCCAACTAAAAATCTGTGCACAAATAACTCAAACCAGCTAAAAGACAGTTCAGATAATTTAAAATAAAAAAAAAAACCTTTTATACGTTAACTAATGTGAAAACTTCGCAACTTTATGAGATGACATTATTTTTAAGCATATACACACATACATATGTATATGTACATGTCTCTAAATTAAATTTATCTAAGTGCATTAAATTTTCGGATTTCAATCCAGCTTCTCCCCTATTTTCTTCTTTTCATTATTTTTTTTATATATGTATATATTTTTTGCATTTTTTATTGCCTGGCTTCAGCGTGCTCTGGCTGCCTTTGGGGCTGCATATATTATGCAGCGCACCGAGCAGCGAGATGGAGGCGGGGCCCGAATGTCGGCCAAAGCTTGGGGCAGCATTATTAGCGGCTGCTTTTCATATATATATATATATATATATATATACGTATATATCAGAGCGACAGATGTACATACATACATAAATGTGTATAAATATATATATTACCATTCATTGACTCGACTTTGGCGCAATTAAACTTACACGAGTGTCGAGACATTTTAAATGCTTTCACTGCTAATTGCCTGCCAGCTGACAACTGCAGCTGCGCCCCAGCACCCGCCCGCCTCTGCCCTGGCTCAAGCGGTTCGTGCTTTACAGGTTAGCAACTGCTCCACTTAGTTTCCCCTGCCCCTGCCCCTGCCCCCCTGCCTCCTGCTCCTTCAGCTCCTGCTCCACTGCGTCACATTGTGCCATAAATTTGCAGCTTAACAAGCGCCGTTTTTCACTGCTCTTCCATCATAGCAGCCATCGCACGTTCGCCTCTCTCTCCCCCTCCCCCTTTGCCCCCCCCTCGGCCAGTCTAGGCACATGCAACATCATTCCGTTTGGCTGGGATATTTTAGGAATTGATTTAAGAGACAAATGCATAACACGACACTGACAATTTCGTAAGTTAACTAAGCGAAAATGAAAGCATAGAATCCACTCTTGGCTCAGCCCAACTCGGCTGGCTCGAGTGCCTCTCCTGCGCCCCTGCGCCTTTGGAGCCTGCGGCTAAATGCATCGTGTTACTTGCCTGTCCTTGTGGCAGGACGAGCACGAATAAAATATCTATTGATACATTTTGCGCCTCAGCAGCTACCACAAATGCAAACAAAGAGATGGCTAAAAATTTGAGCTTGACTTGGCCGAGTTCACACTTAATTGCCATGTGAATGTGTGTGTGTGTGAATGAACTTGCACTGGCAAACCAAAGTCTCAATTATTTCCTCAATTAGCTGCCATTCTAGTGCTAGTTAGTTAAAGAAGTTTCGACTGCATTCGTAAGAAGTTCAGCTCGATTCGATTCGATTCACTGTTAGACGCATTGCTGCACGAGTAAGACTGGCTCATGCTCATTATCGCTCGTTCGTGACGTAAAATGAGTATGTGGATTTTGTGCTGTGTCTTGTAGCTTGGCTCTCAATCTCAATCCACTCAGTGAATGTAGAGCATTTCGCCCTAGAAGCTATTTAGCGCCGATGAGGGAACTGGTATAAGGGAAAATATACCATATCTTGAAGCATGTAACCTACAGACTCAGTAGGTAATATATGAATCGACCTCTACAGACTCATATGTTGAAATCTATATACTCTTACCCACTATAGGCGACAACTTTCATTGACTTACCCGACAGATTGACTTTAATTTGCATATATATTAATGACCTCTATGAGCGTGGTGAATTCTTCTCTGCTTTAAAGTCACCACTACTAAAAGCTTGGACTATACTAACTGTATTATAGGGCGAAATAAGACTATCAAAAACAGTCTCAAATTTCCTTCAATTTTACAGCTTCATATATTCGTATCCATATCATCTAATTAAGAGAAGATAATATTTAAATGTTAATTTCTCAATGTTCCCATAAACCATGTATTACGCAGTAATTGTTATTATTATATAATTAATGTTATTTGTTACCTTAACTAACAATTTTTGTTTTGTTGAGAGCAAATGTCGGCCATATATGTATGTATCTATCAAAAGCCGATATCTGTTACTATACAACTATTTCAATATTAGAGGTTCAAGACCACTAATGAGAGTTTCAGCCATCGACAATATTGCTTAGACAGCATAGGGAATGATTATTACTATTATTTATTATATATATATATATATATATATTTTTTTTTTATACCCTGAACCCATTGAAAATGGGAAATCAGGATATAATGGTTTTGTAAAAAGTATGTAACAGGCAGAAGGAGGCGTGGCAGACCCCACAAACTATATATATTCTTGATCAGGGCGACGAGCTGAGTCGATTTGGCCCTGTCCGTCTGTCTGTCCGTCCGTCCGTCCGTATGTATGAACGCGTCGATCTCAGAAGATATAAGAGCTAGAGACTTGAAATTTTTTTTCCTAGGTCCGTGTATATCACGCGCATATCAAGTTTTTCTCTAAATACCGATAACTACTCTCGATATTTTATTATCGATTAAAAACCTTATCGAAAGCTAGCTATTTAATTATATCTCCTACACCTTTAGAGCTAGAGCTTCCAAATTTTAAATGTAGACTTATATATATTTTATACAATTTCGATTTTGGTTAAAATTTACCCCCCACTCCAATTTCTACCCCCTCACCCTCACCTTTGTAAAAAGCGTATTTCAAATACTAGAGACTTGTGCTTTGAAATGTACATACATTTGAAAATTCTGAAAGTTTCATTAAGATTGTATGTCTAGAAATTAAATTATTCAACAAATAAATTCGTATAATGTTGCTCACACTGCAGCGCAGCCCAAGCGCAGTCGCTGCTTATTGCACAGTTAGCAGAGCGCGTTCTAATACGTGCGTGTATATGCATGTGTGCCGAAAAGAAGTGCAGAGTGATTAGAATATCAGATTAGAGGGTTCAGGGTATCTCCTAGTCGAGCAGTCTCGACTAGAGTCTTCTTACTTGTTTTTTTCTATTTACGCAGAAATCCAAATTATCGAGAATTATTGATATCGTTTTATCGCGGTTTTCGACTCTGATTGTGTATCATTGGTATATGGTATATGTCATAATAAAGAGCATAAATAATCGCATGCCAGAGCACCATCGGATCAGCCAACTTGCAGTCGATCTCTCAGCTATCCTCGGCAAGCTCATAGAAAAACACATCTTTGACAGCTGTATACACTTCCTCCGATTCTAGTTTAAGAACTGAATGATAAGCTGTCATGGAAAAGAAGCTCCTCTATATTCCTTTCGATTTCCATTCATCTGTCGTTATACAGCGCGATGAGAGACTGTACTTCTCTGTGAAATGCCTCAAAACATGGTTCAAGCACTTAACATTTCCATAGCATACTTTTTGGGGCTAGTGTAATATGGCGTGAGGCCTTGTTCATATTAAGTATAAGCATTATAGCATTTAGCTAGCCGAGGCAAACAGTTTAAATGCATAAATGTAAATTGCGTTTAACAAGTAAAATTGAAACTGAAATTGAAATTGAAATTGAAATTGAATTTGAGAATCGGTTACTAATGGACACTTCCGGGCCGCAGTCTAAAATATGCATTTTAAGTGCACTTAAAATTACATTTTGAGTGGCGGTTATCATAAAAAGTATTGATTGAATGCAATCAAGCGATGGGGCAGGCGATGAAAATGCGCTAAAACAAGCATACCGTAAATATATATATATATGCATAACTGTACTATATATATGTATATATGTATGTGTATTGATATGGCAGTAAGTAGCTTGAAGACAAAATAATTAATAGTGCGCCTGAGATGGATGCCACATGTGGCTAGTTCCGTTTATAATGAGGCCTATCAATTGAATTATTGATGTTTGATTTAATTGTGGCTAAACTTGCATTAGACACGCTGCTCAGGGGCGGCTCACCGTGGCTGCGCCAGACGACAGGTGACTGACGTCAGAGCCGGCGGCGAACTGTGCATCGCATTGCCGGCTAACGGGAACGCGGCTAACGTCAACAGCAACGAGTTGCATTTGAGTTTTGCCTTGCGAATTCAAGCATTTGAATTTGGCGCGCTTTAGCATCCGTGCTTAGCCGCCATCTTGGGCGCTCGAGTTTCCAGCTGCAGCCGGGGTGGCGCCATCTGTGGCTGGTGGCTGTGAGCTTGAGCATAGCTTTGGACTGGAAGCTGTGCACAGCTTCCGGCTTCCAATGAAAGCTTTGGCGCTTCACAGACATTTCATGCCATTGCATACCGGCGACAGATGACGCTGCATAACACACAAAAGCCAAATTGAGAGTGAGAGAGAGAGAGAGAGAGGGAAAGGGAGGCAGTGAGAGTGAGAGTGACAGTGAACATGGTGAGAGAGCAATAATAACAGAGATGCGACCGCTAAAGCATAAACAGCGAGCGAAAGCTAACTGCGGTCAAGCGAAACAGTGGAATCGGCACACAGCACGTGCGAAGGCGTCGGCATCGGCGTCTGCGTCGGCATTGGCAACGCTCTCCCGACCCGAAAGTCAAAAGCTTTTTTCATTGAGAAAACGCAAAGGCCCCACACGGACCACAAAACTCGATAGCTTCGAATGGAAGGCTGCGCCAGCTGACAGCCGACAGCCGACAGGCGACAGGCAGTACGGCTAACTTCCAGCGGCTCTGTTCGGCGATGCGGCGTCGGCTCAGCTGTGGTGCTGCTCTCCGCACAGTTGTTGTCGTGTGCAGCATCAACAACAGCAGCAGCAGCAGTAGCAGCAGCAGCGGAACGAATGGAAAGTGGAACGAGCGAAACTAAAGCTCGAGCCCTGTGATGTTTAGTTGCGCGCCGCCAGCAGCCGACAGCAGATGCCGAGACGAGCAGGAGCACCGAAACTCGAGAAACGGAAGACGCCAAGCGAGCAACGAGAAACGAGAAACAGTTGCCGAAACAGAAACCGAAACAGAAACCGAAACCGAGACCGAAACTGAAACTGAAACCGAAACCGAGACGCTGACGAAGACAAAGTGCGAGTCCGTCAAACGATAACTGTAAACCGCAAAAAGCAAACGAACAAGCGTAAGAAGCAGAAAAAGCACAAGAACAAGAAGAAGAACAGTAAGCAGCAGCAGCAGCAGCAGCAATAGCAGCGCAGCAGCAGCAGCAGCAGAACAAAAAGTGCGTCGTGTTTCAGTTCCATTTCGTAACGGCTGCCATTTCGTTGCGCGCAAACAACAAAAAGAGCGAAAGCAAAGCAAACACAAAGCCGCGGGCAACAAAACCAGCAGCAGCAGCCACAAAAAAGAAATTCAAGAAATATATTTGCAAAAAGAATTAATAGAAAAGTATTAGAGTGACTAAAAATTTAATTGATAGTAATATTACAAATAATAATTATAATCGAAAATATATATGTATATATAAATATATAAATATCTATATGCACACACAGTTCGCGTGTGTTTCTAAAGTGCAAAGGAATTTTCTAGTTTTTTTTTTTTTTTTTTTTTTTTTTTTTTTTTTTGTTGCAAAATTAGTAAACGTTTTTTTTGTTGGTGAAAATAAGTGCAAAGTGCAAATGCAAAAAAAATTGTGTTAAAAACAAAAATTAAATAAATAAAATATCAAGTGCAAAAGTAAACGAAATTCACCTTGACATAAACTGAATTTAAATATAAATATATCACATATCTCTCAATATATATATATCTAAATACTTGGTCAAAGTTGTTGTTGTTGTGCGTATGCGTGTTTGTATGAGCGTGCGAGTGTGTGTGTGTGTGAATGAATTGTGGCACGCCAAACATTTCAATAATCAAAGCAAATCGAAAGCAAATGCAATTTATTTATAAACAACAATAGAGAACAAGTGGTTCGTTAAATGCAAAATGTTGTAGCCTAGCATAAATATAACATATTGTTAAACACACACACACACACACACACACACATATATATATATATATATATATATACATATACATATATATGTATATAATGAGACTCAACCAATGGCCAAACAGCTGAGCTACAGGCAACACACACACACACACAGTGTTCCTCTGCCTTGGCCTCTGATGTTACAATTGTTGTTGTTGCTGCTGCTGATGTTGTTGTTGTTGTTGTTGTTTCTTCAAGCACACACACCTGCGCGACAACAACAGCAACAAAACCGACAACAACAGCAACAACGACAGCGACAACAACAGCGCCAGCGGCGCCTTCATAAGCAACGGTTTTTTCGAGCATATCCTTCTTAAGGACGTTCCAAAGGCAATTTTCTGGCTGCAGCAGCCGCTATCTGTGTGTGTGTGTGTGCGTGTGCTACACTCTCTGTTGGCCTGTGTGCTCAATCCCACACACAATCTACCTCTCTCCCTATCTCTCACTCTCACTCTTGCTCCCTCTCTCTTTCTCTCCATCTCTCACTCGCCCATAACAAGACGAAAATGAATTGCTCGAAAAAAAAAAAATAGAAAAAATAGGCGAAAAAGACAGAAGCAGCAGAAGAAAATAAGAAAAGGAAACCCCAAAAATGTTGTGAAAATCGCTGAAATCGAAAACCGCTTAAAAGAGCGCGCGTCAATCTAATAATTGGAAATCTGATTAAAATCAAATGACAGGACTCAAGGATAAGCGTGCCGCAGCGCAAAAGCTTTCAATAGATAAACTTTTACACTGTGCTCCATTTGTATGAATCTGTTTATCTTGATTGGATGGCCAGCGCTACAGTGCTTACTCGCTGGAATGGAAATTCATATCACTAGATGCGGAATTTTCATAGACTCTCGGTTCATAAACTCTCCAATATTTCCAATTAGTGAATTTATCGTTTTCCTCTACTACATTAGTCAGCCTTAGCTCTAGGAGAGCCTAACACGAAAGGCTGTTACCAATTTATAGCTTCTGCTTTCTTTTCAACATGCGTTAGTCTTAGTGAGTTGCCACTGTATTTGTGTGTTTCGCTTGGGCGAATGGATTTAAAATTTGTGTTGATTTTGTGTAGGATTTTCTCAGATTTGTATAGAACAAGTCCGAAATAGCCAGAAAAGACAAAGAAACAAAAGTGCTGAATGGAATGAGAGTGTGCGACAGAGAGAGAGAGAGAGAGAGAGAGAGAGAGAGAGGGAGATTTCAAGTATGATTTCTAAATTGATGTCGCCTTATCCTCATTGTGATTCCGTTTTTTATTGATGCTGCCTTTTTAGCTGATTTCAAGTACTACGACCGACTCTACGCCTATCTTAATTCATTCTTAAGCCCTAAAATCCCCAGCAATCTATAACTGAACTTTTTAAAGTGTTCTAGTTCATTGTACTAAAGTTGATCATAATTGGAATAAATGTTGAATTCGATGTGATATGATAATAAGATATCTGTATTATATATATATTATATACATACATTCATATGTATTATATACATACTATGCATATATGTATATACGAGTTCATGACTAGAAATAGTGTGTAGTAGATGCTTTCCTCAGTGTGCTGCCTTCTCTGTCTTACCTATTACTGTTATTCAAGTTTTGCACCAGAGTTTGTTATTTTCGACACACTAAATAAAAGTTTCTGTAGTCTATATAGTCGCAAATCAAAGTAAACTTCAATCTTTGCTTTGATGACACTGAAAAATTGTAGTCTTCCAAATTATCGTGATATTCACAATTGATTTTGGTGCGTTTCTGTGACCAAATTTGTATTAGCTCTTTTTGTATAAGATATTTTTCAAGTTAGTTATTAGTCAAGTTAGAAAATAATTGCCGAATTACAGGAGAGCTCAATTTGGTTTTATAATAAGAAGAATAATGTGAAATGACATAGCAAATATTCAATATGAGTAGATAACGCAAAGGGAGCGCTAGGCTAATGATCCTCGTTGATCCCTTGTACAAAATATACTTGACCTCTATACTTATTGAATGATATACTTATTCCCCTGAGGTATATTGTAGAAATGATGACACGCTACTTGCATTACAAGAAGCTTAGCTTATAAACAGTCGATTTTTTTTTGCTTTTTTTTTTTTACTATGTCTTCAAAAATTTTCTTTGAATATCATTTAATTTTTAGAAAATGTATAGTAGCTAGAAAACCCTTTTTTTATGATAGTCAAATGTTAGACTATGGAATATTTGGTATGTCAATATATATTATATTTATATATATTATATTTATATGTATAACATATATGAAGAAAAGTAGCCAGGCTTCTTACTCTACATTTGGGTTGCCTAAGGTCACTCAGATATCTCACCTATAAATATGATTTTACAATCGATTGGGTTTCTTTTCTGACAATATTCTCTGTACTTCACAACATATAGTATATGTATGTATGTATGTATTCTTTTATAGCATTCTATATTGGCGTTGAAGTTTGTATTAGCTGTCTAACTTTTATCTCAAGAGAATTTATCATATATTTTCTGAATTACTTTCTCTCTTTCAATGTGCACTCGATGTTCTTTGACTTTTCCTTTTCGTGCAGAAGAGTTTCACTTTGATTGAACGATTTAATTTCATTGAGTCGATAGGGTGATTTCTTTTTTTCTTTTTTTTTCAGTTAAACATTTCATTTTCCATTCGATTTGCTGTTGCTGCTCTTCTTCTTCTTGTTGTCGTCGTTGTCGTTGTTGTTGTCGTTGTTGTTGTCGTTGTGGTGTGTGCAACAACAACAACTTGCTGTTGTTGACTATTGATTTGCTTCGACATTTAGCGAGCATTCAATTAAATAACATACTGACAGCTGCGCTCACAGACTCCCATGCACAGCAGCTGACCTTTGAACAATGCCACACACACACACAGACACACACACACACATATGTACGCATCTATAGAGATATATGTGCATACAGTCAGGTGCATATTGAAGGATGACCTTATGCGTTAGTTGCAGCACTCACTTCTTGCCACATTCATGAGTAAAGTTTCAGCTGTTGCGCTGCACACTCACACACACATCTATACACCAACTCAAACACACACACACACACATCGTCACTAATCGAAATGTATTAGCAGCTACGAAATGCAGTTAGTTAATCAATCCATCTGCGGCAACAATTGACAGCCTCAGCCAACTGGTAGCACTCAATTGCTGGCCAAGCGACAGCAGCACAGTTTATAGGGGAATAATAGGGCAGGACTCTCTAATAACGTTAAGTAATTGAGCAGGAAGCGATGGCAGCGGCAATGGCAACAGCAACATCTCTAGACGATTTGTATGTATTTTTAATTTGTTTTCAATTTGAGTTTATTGTTTGTTTTTCTTGAGTTTTCTATTGATTTTGATTGTGACAAAAATTGAAACGGAATTCAGCTAAAATTTTAAGTTTATGATTTAATAATGTTAAGTTCATTTAAATTAATTTTAATATTTTATTTCGATGTCAGTTCCTCACTCTAACGTAATAGAGAAAAGTCTTTAAATAGTCCTTAAAAATATAAGATTGTTGCTTAAAAGTAATGCATGTGCCTTTGATTGATTTAGTTGGTATAGAACTTTCTATCAAAGAACTTGGGAATGTAAGAAGCATAGGTTGTTCGATAAATTGTTATCGATAATTGACTCTCTTAAAGATCAGGAGAAAACAGAAATTTAGTTTTGCTATACATATGCATATGAGCCTACTTATACTTTTTCTTGGCTTTATGAAGTGTTATAAATCATACACTTGCCTAACGTATTTTCGGCTCATTAGACTATCCTGGAATGGAAGATTTCTCTTTCTTTATATTTTCAAATATATATATATATTTGACCGATTTTCATTGATTTTTATCTCCTCATCTTCTAATTAATGTCTAGCAATACTCGATAGTTCGATAGCTCGAAAACGTTATCGACTTTTCACTTTATGTATATCGGCAGATCGGCAGAATTCTTCTGCTTAAAGTGGCTTTTGGTAGTATCGCCACATTAGATTGATCATAAATAGAAATTCTTAAGCCTTTCGCTGTATTTTGAAATATATATGTATAAATAAATATAGGACTTTCTGTATATTACATATGAGTACATATGAGCTTATTTAAGTTTTCAAAGACTCGAATCCATTCATAAACCCGATAAATAGTCATCAACTAATAAACTCAACTGACACGTATTGGTGCATCAACTGAACCTTGAATGTAAATACTTTAACTTCAAGTTCTTTGAAATGTATTGAATTCAGAATCTGTACGCATATATATGACCTTTTTCCTTTCACTGCTCACCTCTCCTCGGCTAAGCATCACTTATAGCTCAATTGGCTATTCAGTAAAAGTTTCAATCTTTGTCGATTTCGCTTGCAATGTAAATTTCGATGCGAGAAACTGTTTTCATGAATGAGAATGTCGCTGGAATATTTGAATAATTTGACTTGACTTGATGGAAATTGTAAACTAAAACTTGATTTCATATGCTGTCTAAATTGCTGCAAACCCGATTTAGCAGGAAAAGTTTGTTGTTGTCGCTTCTTTTTTTTTATTTTGTCGTTTGATTGAGGGAAGTGCCATAGGTTTCTTTTTTTCTAATGCTATTTTCTATTTAAATATGCAAATTTCTGTTTAGTTGCTGTGCGAATGGAAAATTCCATTATAGATGACAGTTGCTCGGATCTCAGTGTATCTATGCGCGAATATACGCATATATATTTAAATATATATGCATGGGTGTGTGTGTGTGTGTTTGTGTATATTTAGATATATGTAGGTATGAACAATCTGACACTGTGCTAAAGGACGGAACGACCGAGCGCCGACCGAACTCTGTGGCATAGGCCATAAAAACGCGTGACAGGACAAAAAGCAAGCAAGAGGCGTTAGACTGTGTTTGTGTGTATGTGTGTGTGTGTGTGTGTGTGTGTGTGCGGCCGCTAGGGAGTTCACTTCTCTCTCCTTGCTACCTCCCTACCTCCCTGCCCCACTCCTACCCCCACCCCCACCCTCTTCACCTTCATTTTCTCCTCCTCTTTGCATCTTCTTTTTGTTTCGGGCGCTTCTTTCAAGCGACGGCGCCGCGGCAAGGTGAAGTAGATGAAGTGAATGCTGCTGAACAAAAAGAAAAGAAAAAAAGAGGAGAAGATGAAGAAGCAGAAGGAGAGGGAAACGAAATTCCAAATGCAGAAATGGAGACAAAGTGTAGAATGGACATCCGTTCCCCATGGGCGCAGACAACGGCAGAGCGAGATGGGACGAAAAAGAACGCGAAGTGAAGAGGAGCGAGGGAGTGTGAGAGCGAGCGAGATAGAGAGGGCAAAGCTGCTGGTTGCAAAGGGATACAGTTGCAGGCAGCTAGGAATGCCGAAAGAAATAGCTGAGCAAAGAGTAAATGGAAACAAGGCAGCTGCTAAGCACTTCAAGCTTAAAAAATACCGTTAACAAGAATAACAACGCAGCAACGAGCGATTGTTTTTCTGCTGCTTAAAGATGCCACACACACACACACATACACACGCACACACGAATGTTTTTAGCTGCTTTTGGCTTGTGCGTATGTACACACAGCAGCGAAGCAGCGTGCGAACAGCAATAGACGCCAATAAACGGCGCTGTAAAAGCCAACGGCAGTGTGAAACGGTAAACGCACACGCACACGCATGAACACACGCACACATCTACACACAGGCCATGTGCGTTTGTCGTGTCCTTTCGCAGCGGTCGCTTGCGGTTGTATGCGTATATGCGTGTGCTGCATAAATCCGCCAACAAGTTTCCCATTGTGCATGGCCAGCCGCCACCTGGCCTGCCACTCCCACAACGGCCGCCCGTCGCCCACTCAGCAGCCATTTTGCCGTCGCTTTGTTGTGGCTGCTGTTCTAGCCTTACGCTCTCACGCGCGCGCTCTCTCTCTCTCTCTCTCTCTCCCACTTCCACTCCCACTCTCACTCTCCCATAGCGCGCTTTGCAGCGTCGCGTGCACGAGAGTGAGAGCGAGAGCGAGGCAGAGTGAGAGTCAGCGTGAGAGTGAGCGTGCGAGCGAGCGAGCGAGGTGCCTGTTTGTGCTTAGTTCGTTTCGTGAACGCCAGCAGCGCTGCTGGCACTGGCGCAGGCATGCATAGGCCTCTCTACGTGTATAATTGTGTGTGTGCACATATACGTATATAGCTGTGTGTGTGTGTGGGCCTTTTACAACGACTGTTAAGCGCTTACACGCTTCAGTTTCTCGCACACATTTTCGCTGTATGCTTTGCGCTACACGTTTGTTGTCGCTTGTTGCCATTGCCTGCGTTTTCGCTACAGCGTTTTACCGTTTGCTGCTGCGACGCGGTGCTTCTTTTCGCCGCCGCCGCTGTCGCTACTGCTCGTGCCACGCTTTGTCGTCGTGCGTCCTCGTCGTTTTGTTTGCTGTCGGTTTTTTCTTTCTTTTGCTTTTGCTTTTGTGTTGTTGTTTTTTTCCTTTTTTTTTTCTTTTGCTTTTTGTTGTTCGCTGGGGGAAAAGAAGAAGCGCGTTGGTGCCTCGGCCGTTGCTGCTGCTGCTTCCTCTTCTACTACTGTTTTTCGCTGTGGTCCGCTTTGGGCATTTTTTTCTTTATTACTGCTGCTACTGCTGTCGTTGTTCTTGCTGTTGTTGTTGTCGTCCTTTGCTGTTTGTTGTACGGTGCGTATGTTTCAATTCCATTTTGTTGCGCTTGCGTTTAGCCCACGTTTCAGTCGCAGTTGTCAGCGTTTATTGTATTTGTTTCGTTTTTCTTTTTGTTGGTATTTCTTCTACATAATTTGATTGAATTGCTGTTGTTATACCTAGCAGTAGGAGAAGGTGTGTGCGTGCGTGTGAGTCTCTGTTTGTGTGTGTGTGCGTGTGTGTGTGCAATTTCAGTCAAATTATGAGACACATTTAACTTTGGTCAAACTGTGAGTCCAAATATATCAAATCTCAGCTCACGAAAGCCATCAAACAACGTAGAAATGGACAATAAATTTTTAATAATAGTTCATGATTTATTATTATATAAATAGCCGCAGGAAAAAGAAACTTCCAATTACAAATAAACTGGCAAAATCTATATGAAAATAGCATGCTTTTGCGGATATTTATAGCTGTCAGTGTGTGTGTGTGTGTGTGTGTGTATGGGTTTGTGTGTGTGTGTGGTAGTGCTTGTGTTTGTGCTTTTGTGTGTCGTACCTGTGCGACAGTTATCTCCCTCTCTTACTCTGGCATTCCATGCTCTGTGCTGTGGCCCCAAAAGGTTCAAGGTTGTCCAGTTCAGTGCATGAAATGGAGCAAACAGTCACAACAGCAGCAACAACAGCAACGTGAGCAAAGCGCGCCAAAAAGAACACCCCGAACACGCCTACGAATTCAACCACTCAGAGGGCAGCCCCCTCAGCCTCTTCCTGCCCCTCGCGCCAACTAGTAGCAAAGCAACTTCAAATCAATTGCAATAATTAAACGGCAAATGAGAAGAACACGACAAACGGTAGAGAAAGAGAAAATAGGTGTATAAGTGTGTGTGTGTTTGTATATGTGTTTGTGTGTGGCAAAAGGACAAGCACACGGAGTCGCTGCTGAAAATCAATAGGCAAAGGACATATGTATGTGTGCTGGCCCTCTCGCTCGCACCCACGCCAAGCGTCCCGCTTGAATTCGCACAGCAAACAACAACAACAACAGCTACATCGTTGCGCCTATTTTTATAAAACATGAAATAACTTCAAAACAACATATATAAATACATTTCTGTACATGTGTTTGTCTATGTGTGTGTTTGTGTGTGTGTGGAAGTGTGAGCTACGCCTAAAAGCGGAAATTAACATTTTCACTTGCTGTTTCCGGTTGCCACGACACGAAGCGACAGCACGACAGGACACGACCCAGCCTAGTTGTTGCCATATGTGTTTCAGTTCGCGCGCGTGCGTATATATATATATCTATGTGTGTGTGTGTGTGTGTATGTGTGTTACCAGATTTATTTACAATAGTCCAAAATCGACTAATTACAAAATCAATTAAAGCAGCTTTGGCCCAAAAACTGAAAATTATGATATAAAATGCAGCGAGCTGTAAGCAGATAGCAACAGCAGCAGCAGCAGCAGCAGCAACAGCAGCAGCAGCAGTAGCAACAATAACAACAATCGACTTGCTGCGCGAACAACAACATGTGACAAACAAAAGTGCAGCAACAACAACCACTATAGCTATGCGTCTGCCCCACAAAGTGTGTTGCAATCAAAAACAGCTCTAACAGCAGCAACAATAAACAAACAGCCAACAACAACTACAAATCAAACAAGTCTTCTATATCAACAACAACAACAACAACAGCAACAACAAACAGCTTTAAAAAGAAAAATAAATAAATTTAGTTAAATAAAGTTAAATGTATGTAAATAAATAAATGTTAAAGCGCCTTGCTTGCAATCATGCAGCAAATATCAACTAAATGTTAACAACAATAACAGCACCACTAATAAGAACAACAACGGTAACAACAGTAGCAGCAACAACAACAACAACGACGCTGACGAGGACAGCGAAAACAAATGCGAACGCTTCAATGGCAACGCCCAAAAGTATGCAACGCTTTGTTGGCCAGCCGCAACTGAGACGCAGCTACAAATAGCAGCAAAGTGTGTATGCCACACGGTGTGGCAGGCACTAGCAGGAGCCGGAGCCGGAGCAGGAGCCGGAATAGGAGCCGGAGCCGGAGCAGGAGCAGGAGCAGGAGCCGGAGGCGGAGCCATTTGGAGCGCAGAAAACTGGCAGCCAGCTGAACTAGTTGGACGATAAGCAGCAGCAGCCAGCGCTTAGTGAACGTTGGCGCACTTACAAATTCAACCAACTTGCTCGTCCTCAACCATTTCCCGCATCGATTTCATCGAGAGATGGGGCCTAACGCCGGTTTTGCGACCGCGCCAGGAGCAACCCTTGAGCGGTGAAAATCTATCCAACGCCTCGCCCCCTCTTCTGCGTGATAGGTAACATTCTCTCTCTTCTCTTACTCGATTAATGAAAACACTTTTGGGAATTTCGGGAATTTGTAGTTGAATATAAGCATAACAGAAATATGGGATAGCTGTAACGCTCTACAATAACCGCTATGAATCAAATATTTCCAAGCGTGAACAACGCAAAAAGTTAGTTGAATTCCATTTTGTTTCATTCAAAAGTTCAATGTGAAACAAAGCGAGCTGAAGCTAGGCAAATGTAGTAACATGGAAGCAGTTAAGGAATATAACAATTATATTTAATAGCGCTAGGTACTGTTTCGGTTTGTGGGGAACGATGGGAAACAGCGAAACACAATTAGACACGGACAGAGGCTTAGTTCATGCCACACAAATTCCAATATCCACGAACGCAGATTTACAAAGCAAATGAACTGGAATGGGTGAAATAGAGTGAAACGAAATGGCATGCAAAGCAATGAAATTAAATGCTTGCAATTAAATTCAATAAAAGCGCATGCATGAAATGAATTGGAATGGAATGAATTAATGAACTCAATGTAAAAGTCTGTTGGGGCTTACTTAACATTGCGGCACCATGTTAATAGAATGTTAATTGATGAAGAAAACTCTGAAATCTAGAAATCTGGAAGTTTTTTGGGGTTTGAATCCGACCCAAATAAATTTAAAGAGCAGCCAGCACTTGACATAGCAAATTCTGGAACATTTTTGTACATCCATTATAAGTATATATATAACATGGAGCATACGTATGCATACACATATATACACATGCGGCGGCGTAGCTGTGTGAACAAAATTGCATTGCATAGCGACAGGCGCTGGCGCTGGCATTTTGTGCCTTGTGCAATTTATATTTAAACACGTATGAGTGTAAGTAGTCGAGCATGGTCAACTAGAGAATACCCTGCACTCGGAGCAGAGCTGCAGCTTATCGTATGCTAGACGAGCGAACTGGAGGGAGATATGCCAAATAGATTTGATTATATTTAAGGCTATGACACATCGATTTTACCAATAAAAATAGAATGATTTGGATATACCATATTATACTGACATAATATTTATATCAAATTTGAATGCTGTAGTCAGAGATCAATTTCGATAGGGACTCGCTAGCAGATGGGCAGACTGACAGATGAATAGATTGACATGCGACTCAGCTATTGTACATACATATAGCAGACTGTGTGGAGTCACCAGCTGCTGCGTTCATTTGAACACAACCAATATGCACTCTATTGACATTTGCAATGGGTGCTCAGCGTATAAAAAGGGCACCAATGGCTAGTTGTCCATGCCAAGTAGTCTGCACAATGGCATGCGGCAATACGCACACACACGCACAGAGAGAGACGCACACGTACGCAATACATCTGTAAGCTGTGTGTTTATATATGGCCAATTTGATGATGGCCCATGCGGCGTATGCGCAATGTGGCATCAACGTGACATTGGCAGCATCAGCAGTCAACGCAGCAGCAGCAGCAGCGGCAGCGGCAGCAGTAGCTGTTAACAGCCAACAGCCAACAGCAACAGCAGCGCTCATCGTCGTCATTTGGGGCTGTGGGGGCTGTTGGCTGGGCCTCTCATTGAGACATAACAATATCCTTTGATAATATGCCCCATAATCAAGTCAATGAGTATTGACATCCGTTTGACATTGATAATGAGATGTGTGCCTCGCTCCCTCGCCCGCTCTCGTGCCCTTCTTGTGTGGCACTTGGCTTGGAGTGCAAATAAACTATTGAGAGCACGAGAGGCTCGCAGCAAAGCCGATTGGGGCCAAACAGCTAAAATGCTTAGACTTTCACTTAATCCCATTCCCATTCCCAGTTCCAATCCCGTGCCGGCTTGCCTAGCTCTCCCTCTCCCTCTCTCACTCTCCCACTCTCTCTCACACACACTCTCTCTCTGTCTGTCTCTCTTTCTAGCGCCTGTTGTGGCAGCCAAGTCGAACAATTGCCACATATTTCAACTTGCAACTTGACTTTTCAACCTTTTGTTGCTGTTGCCGTTGCCGTTGCCGTTGCTGTTGCTGTTGCTGCTTTGTTTTGTTTCGCAGCTGCTGTCATTGTTCTTGACTTTTGATCCTTGCTGGCAGCGACAGGCGACAGGCGACAAGCGACAAGCGACGTCAACGTCAGCAACATGAGCAACAAAGGCCATAACAATGCCACACGATACAGACACACACACACACACACACACATACAGATAGATATATGGCTCGCTTTTGGCTCTGTCTGGTCTGTTGTGCTTTGTGTGTTTCGCTTTCACTCGCTTAACTTTGTCGTCTTTTGTTGTTTACATTCTGCTTGTTACTTTTATTACGGCCACGTCTTTATCAAGCGGTTATCTATATCAACTGCTGCTCATCAGCTTCCTCCTCGTTCCCCTCATGCGTCCTCCACGTCCTCTTCGTTTTCGGTTTCGTTTGGGCATAAAAATTAACACCGCATGTCAAAGACATAATGAAAACTTGGCTCTTGGCCGCGCATTCAGCTAGTTCGCCAATGGCCAAGCGGAACAATTGGCATTGCTTAGAATGTTCAGAAAGTTCAGAAAGCCAGAAAGCCATAAAGCCAATTCTGTTCATTGTGTTTATCAAGTCTATTAACTAGCTTCATGCCACACGCCACCGGCGGCAAGCCACATGCCACCGGCCGCATGCCACATGCCACATGGCATATGCCACATTGTTGCCATTAGCTGACACTGCAAATCAGCCTGATTAATGTTGTCGACAATCGCACAATAAACTGCCGCCAGTGTTGGATAATATTTGAAAATACTTTCCACTCCCCTCTCTCATTTCGTTTCTAACTGCACTGAAGTCGCGCAGCTGTCAAGCTTTCAAGCATTCTTACACTAATTTGAAAAGTAATCAGAGCGAATGAAGCTTAACAAATCTCATTTCATTAGAGTGGCTGGCAAACTGATTAGATAACATAACGTAATTATAAACAGTTATAATTGGAATTGACATATTGAAGCATATACGTATACCTGTCGATGCCATCTCCATAATAAACTTAACTTAAACGTATTTGAAAGGCAATTGCAGTAGTTATCTAGATAGACATAGTAATCAAATGTTATTTGAAAGTTATCGATATCTGTTCGTTAACCATTCATTGTATTTGATTAAATTTATTTTGCTTTGTGGAATAGAGCAAAAGATGGGAAAGATATAAATGTTGCGCTTCATTTTCGCACCTATAGACAAAGCCAATCGATAAGTAAAATTATCGATATTGTAGATTTCGAATTATATTGCCACGATGTCAGTCAATATATTCGTAATTATATATACTAAACTTAACCTTTTTGATTCGTGGATTTGCTTAGCTAAAGCAATCAAATTCGATTTGAATAGTCTATCGATAATTCGTCTATTTTTTGCCACAAAGAAAGCATTGCTTAAAAGACGTTAGATGTGTTGTGCCTTGTATTAAACATGAATAACTTATATATATAAAATATATATACCAGAAATGTATCGATTGAAATTATTTTGATCTATAGGCAAACATTGAGTAGATTGTTTAACTGTGTTTAATTAAGAATCGATATTCATTGATATTCATATATATTTAGAAATATTCCTACAGTGAATAACAATATATATAACACTATTTGAATGCATAATCAAATTCAATTGTATAGCATTAATAATCGATTTTCATATCGATAACAACAATCAACAGTAATTAAGCTGGCTTTAAATGGAAATGCTGTCGGCAAGCAGTATTGGAACAATCCAATTAGACCTTTCGATGCTGACATCGCCTCTTCGCTCGAGTGACTGCCAGCAGTTACATCACTTGAGTTTGTCTGCCTGAAGTTGACCAGAAGCGAAGGAAAATCTATAAGAAAATTGCATGGCAGGAGCAAAAAGCGCTATGTGTGTAGGGAAAAGGACAACTGCTGCATGTAGTTGTGGCACACTTGGACACGCTCCGCTTCGAAGATATTTGGCCAAGTTGTTGGCCGTGCGCAGCTCCGTTAACTGTCCATATACCCTCTAGCCAGTTGGCAATTGGGTTGGCTGGCTGGCGCCTGCAGGTGGAGCAGGCCGAGTCTTGTGGAAATTGTTCTAGTTTAGTATCGACTGCAGGATTACAGGGTATTTCGGGCCGCACTCACTCGCCTCTGCTCAGCTGGGGGCAGTTGCTTCATCAGCTCTGCTGTTTGGATAATAAACGAGCTGAGCTAAAGTTTCAACAAGGCGGCACAGCGAAACACATTTAAAATGCCAGCCACCCACACATGCTCCGCTGCCCATGGGTTGCACCACCTG